TTTTCATTAGTTGTCAGTTATAATCATCAAAATTAAAAAGGAATGAACACTTGAAATATATCAGTCTGTGTGGAATGAATGTATACATTATACAAGTTTCACTTTTTGAATGGCATTACTGAAATAAATAAACTTTTTGATGATATTCTAATTATATGACCAGCACCTGTATATATTAAACGCTAGTCAGTAATGGTTTTAGATTATTTGTCATTTAGGATGGGAGAAACATGTTAACATTTAGAAAAGACGACAGTGTCTGACAAAATTGACTCCAATCTAACGTTTTAACCACAAAAACTCATAAGGGGGAGAGCTACTATCGTTTCACAGCAGACACTCTGACAGGACAAGTGCAGGCACCAGCCAATGATCTCAGAATGCCAGATTTAAGCTGCTGTGTCACTTAGGTTAGGTTAAAAGTGATAGTAAATCCATGAAAACAATGTGAGAGGGAAAGTTATAAAAAACACAAAATGAATAGTAAACCAATGAACCAACTAAATAACCCACATTTACCCATCCAACATGGATAAAACCCAGGAATCCATAGTGTATAGGCCTATATATTGAGGATATAGTTGCCTCCTTTGCACAACTGCTAAAGAAATTTAAATTTAATCATTTAGCTGACGCTTTTATCCAAAGCAACTTACAATTGCCATATATGTCATAGGTCGCACGCCTCTGGAGCAACGAGGGGTTAAGTGTCTTGCTCAGGGACACAATGGTGGATGGTTACAGTGGGGAGTTGAACCCGGGTCTCTCACACCAAAGGCATCTGTCGTAATGCCAGACAGTCTTCTAATGGGAAAAAAACAGCACACAGCATATATCCAAACATAAATGCTATTGCTCAAAAGCAGCTTTTTTTCATAGCTTCGTTCTATGCCCCCATGTTGCAGCTTTGTGGCCTGGTGTCTTATATGTAATAAGATATGTTTAAAGGACAGACTCCCACAATATAATACTATTTGGCAACCCCTCAAATCACACCTTGCATATACAAGTTCCTGAGTTGTAGCCTATACTAATACACTATTTCATTCTATTTAAGGAGTAAATGAGTGAGAGACGGGTAGGGAAACAGGAGAGCTTTAGGAAGATAAGAAAGACTAAGGGAGAAGATAAAGGTAGGAAATGAATGCCTAGACTGCTTTATCTGAGCTATGTTCCTATTCTTAGATTCAGATTATTTTATGTCTCTTCTACTTGGAATATTCACATTTATTATATAAATATAAATGTATTACATTTTCTTTTTTTTGATATTGTTCCAATCTCAAAATACCCTATATAATTTAAATATCATCTGCTGTGTAGCTGTGAATGTACATAAATATAATTGTACATTTTAATTATTTCATATAATTGAAAATTTGCATTGACACAACAATATACTTTACGTATGATATTCTTTGGCTCAATAAAATCATATTTTGAGGAAGAAATGTCCCCAGGGCCACACCCTTTGTTTTAATGTGTATGTAAATGTTGTCAATTAATGAATCAAATGCAATTCTTTCTCTGCCTGACCAAGCAAGAGGGATGTTCAAGGCTTGTGGGCTGATGCAGATATTGGAAATGTGGCATACAGCCAAAAGCTTGGCAAAAGAGTAAGAGCACGTCTGGAACCTTGTTCCTTTTTGACTTGTTAGGTCTCTACAACTGGGACTGTTGACTATCCATTAGGGTGAATCAGCACTTTATACATATATTTATATGTAACTTAAGGATCACGGTATCATTTCAGAGGAAGAAATATTATTTGTTTTATTTGTTAGTTCTTCAAGATGATGATAAACTTAAAAAATGGCTTTTTTGTTATTTTGAAACACACAGGCAAGAATGATGAAGGATGAATCGGAGATCTTGCCGTGGATAAACGACATTACTGCACACTTGTGGTACTGCTGCAAGGAGGCCAAATAGTTTATTATACTGCTGCAGTGATCATGAGAGCCAAAACATGCTTAACTTTTTAATACAAGTTCTGCAGTGAATGCTGCCAAGCTGTCCTCTCTTTCTCCCCTTCAATCCCCCTCTCTGCCCAGCCTCTCCTTTTCCTCTCTTGCTTCTCTGTGGTGGACCATTGGCCATCCTGGGACCTCTCTTTTACTTGGCTGACGGTGCCTCATTCAGTCGTTAATCTTCATCTCCTTTGCATGCTATCATGGCTCTCTCCCTCTGTGTGTTTGTTTCTCCTCTCTGTGTGAATGTGCTCTTCTGTGTTTGTGTGGCCTATCCTATGTCCAGGTCTCCGGTAGAGAAGAGGTGGTGTGTTTCAGATTCAGAAGCCGCTCAATCGTCCTCCTGTATCCATCATCATTTATGTTGTACAATCTAAAAGTTGCCATCATCATAACTGGACATTCTGTGATTTTCTCTTGTGAATATATTCCATACACATGACATATATTGCATGTCCCTCTGTCCTGGAAGAACAATCCCTCTTTTGCTGCTATTCCTGAAGTTTCTTCCATTTTTCCCTGTTAAAAGTTTTTCCTAATTCAAATCAAGGTTCTAAGGACAGAGGGTGTTGAATGCTGTACAGACTGTAAAGCCCTTTGAATTTTTTGATATTGGGCTATAAAATAAATACAATAGACTTGACTTGACAAGAAAATTAGATTAAAAGGTCACTTTTTTCCCCCGTTGCATGTGCTTTCAGGGCATCTGGTGTGGTGTCTCTGGCAGGCATGAATGGGCGTTGGGAAATGTTCACACAAGCCAATTCCTGAAGAACAGGTCCAGCAGAAGAAATTGATTGCTCCAGTTTCTCTTGTACATGTGGCTCTCACTGAGGTTGTAAACTGAAATTTGATGTTGATGTATACCAGCTATTCCTTCAGCCCCCCTGTGTAGGAAGCAAGAACCTGTTTGGCTGCACTGGACTACAACTTCTACAACCATCAACCACCAATGCTCAACAAATATGGCCAGAAGATGTAATCACTTACAAGAGCTTTGACAAACTTTGATGAAGGCCAGAACAGTAACATACATGAAGAAGGTGTAAACAACTGGAATGGTGGAATTGTATTATGTAGCTAATAGGTACAGAGCAAAACTGATGCACATCACATGGCTTCTATTCTTAGCATTCAAAATGCTTTCAACTTAATTTAAGTTTACTGAAGCCTCCAGTAAATACCAGCTGTACAGCATTTCCAGGCATAGATTCCAGACAATAGTCTATGATTTTCTAGATGAAGACCACTTTGCAATGCGTTTCGACAATGTCTGACTGGAAATGCACTGTTGGTGCATACCGGATGAGTACAACTTCAATAATTCCTTTTTGAGAACCCCTTTTCTTTTCCCAGCTTTATGAAGAAACCTGTAAATAGGTTAGTATACAATATCTTTTTAAAATCCTTTGTCCTGTGCCAGTAGGGTAGAAGAATTAGTTATTGTTGTCTTTTCTTGACAGGTGAGTAAACTTTAGTGATGTTGGTTAACTGTTAAAAGGGAATCATCTATTTTAAGAATTCACATGTTGCTCCTGCCTCAAGACAGTTCAGTCAGTATTTGGGAACACGCACCACTCCTAAAGTTAGAAATCAGAGAGAAAACCTTCTATTGGTGTAACTTTAATGTAAAACCTGGGGCGGCTCCATAGACAGTGAACAGAGCTCTGACTTTACGAGTCTATAAAATGCCTGTGGGCGCTCTTACACCCAAATCAGGTTTATATTCTAGCATTGCTAGATTATCTGAACTTAAAACCTCATAAGGGTGTAATTGTACAAACAAATGTTTTATGGGACCTGTTGATTGTGCGTAAAGCAGCCCCAGATTTTACATCTAAATTACATCACAGATTGGAGCTTTCTCTGATTTCTAACTTCAGGAGTAGTGCGTGTTCACAAATACTGTCCTGGGGCACAGGACCCACATATTTAAATTCTTAAAATGGGCGGCTCCCCCCTTTAGGATGTTACCACCAGGACTGAATTTTACAAAAAAAAAAAAATCATTGGTGTGATTCAAGCTATTGCGTGAATATTTTCTCCAGCTATACAAGGCTATGGAATAGAAAGTCTCAGAGGTGGAGTGCATACTCAGTGAAATCCACAAAGGAATACGGTTACATCCCTGACCTGCAACAAGCCATTGTATGACTACGACTGTATTCCCACACTGTAAACCCCAATAAGTTCATAGTACTCAAAACTTTTGTAGAAACTGATTACATAATAACTTTTGAGGAAAGTAACTTAATATTTTTAAGTTAGATTTTTTTAAAAGTTACAATCTAATCAAACTTAAAAAAATTAAGTTACTTACCTTTAAATGTTTAAGTTTGATTAGATTGTAACTTTTAAAAAATCTAACTGAAAATATTAAGTTACTTACCTTTAAATGTTTGAGTAAGATTTTTTAAAAGTTACAATCTAATCAAACTTAAACATTTAAAGGTAAGTAACTTAATTTTTTTAAGTGCACTATGCTTAAAAATATTGTTTAACACTCGCACATTTTTTGTTTCTCCATACTTCATTATTTTGATCCAATGGTACTAAAAAAATATGCTTGTGTATAACCCACAAGCTAATGAAATTTACAAGTTAAAACTACAAAAAAAAAAATTACTTCAGCTGTACATTTTCTTTTTTCTTTTATTCAGTCTTAACTTTTATACAAACATGTCAGAACATCAACAGCAGTCAACAGTTAAAACTCTGTTCTAGCTCAGGTGTCTAACCATGTGACTCAAGTCACAGTTTCACCACCTACCCAAAAGCTGTAAGCCTGTTAAGCAGTGAAATTTCTTAAAATATTTAGTTACAAACCTACATGGACACAGCAAATATGTATGTTTTAGTGTATGGTTGTGCATTTGTCTCTGTGTGTGTGTCTCTGTGTGTGTGTGTCTCTGTGTGTGTGTGTCTCTGTGTGTGTGTGTGTGTGTGTCTCTGTGTGTGTGTGTGTGTCTGTGTGTGTGTGTGTGTGTACTAACATTTGCGTCGGTGTGGGTTCCCATCGGTGGGAGCACATCCACCTAAGGAGTTCCAAAATCGGAGTGGGGCCCAAAATGGTGGGCCCCACTCCGATTTCAATTAAAATGAGCTCAGCAGCTTCCCCTGATGCTACCATTGCTTTTTTTTTCATTTCTAAAAAGTGGCCCGTAAGGTAGCAAAAAGTGGGTATGTGTGTGAAGGTGTGTATCGTCCAGCCTTTTTGTACCGGAAGTCAGGATATACACTTCCCGCGAAATCGAATACACACCGCGGGAATCTGAAACCTTTGGCCAATGAAATTACTGCACTGTACAATCAGCCGCGAATGTAAGGAAAACTGCGGAAATTGCACAAGAAGAAGAAGTAGACGAAGAAGAAGACTTCAAGGATAGAAGATTGAAGACAGAAGAAGACGGAGTGGTTGGACATCTGAATATTTTTACAAATACCGACCTCTTCATGCAACAGGTAAGCTAGGCATGGTTTTTATGGTGAGTTTATTTTGGCGTTATATCGTGATGTTTGCTACCTCGTTTAGCTGCAATGTAGCTAACGTTAGCGACATAATATTACTATTAGCAGTTGGCTTAACCTAATAACGTCACCACGGACATGACAGCGGGGCAGAGACAGGGTGCAGTGAAGTCCTGTCGTTAAAGGTGGAATCGGTTGTGAATTGTGAGGTTTTTATGGTGAGTTCATATTTTGGCGTTATATCGTGATGTTTGCTACCTCGTTTAGCTGCCATGTAGCTAACGTTAGCGACATAATATTACTATTAGCAGTTGGCTTAACCTAATAACGTCACCACGGACATGACAGCGGGGCAGAGACAGGGTGCAGTGAAGTCCTGTCGTTAAAGGTGGAATCGGTTGTGAATTGTGAGCAAGACCGGGCAGGACTCGCTGATGGAGGTTAGCCAGAAGCTAACGCAGGACTGAAGCTACGGTGCCGTGTTGGAGTCACTCAATAATAATCAATATCAAAGATGTTTTCAAAACAGAAGTTATGGCCGAACCTACGCACCACATGATGTTTTGACACTTTAAATAACAAAAAAATAACAAATAAACAAAGGTTTTTGAAAAGTTGTACATACACGGGAGAGGTACTACAAATATGCAGTATCCTTTTAGGCATTTAAACCCATTTTTGCCTGAAAAAATGCAGTCGAACAGAAAATTTAGGCGTCACGTCATTGACCCACATTTTTAACAAATAAAAACACATTCTTAAATTTCAGAGCATCACTGTGACTGATCAACTGATCAACAAATGTAGCAAGATGTGAAACCTTTGCTTGTTTAGACTCAATACTTCTAAGGGAAGTTTTCACCATCCTGGTGGTACCGGCCTACCCTGGACCCCCCCATAACCATCCATGCGCTTATGTATGAGGAAGGATGTGATGCTGCATATGTCAGTCAATGGTCATGTGGCAACGCCGCCATGCTGCTGTACCAGAAGTTAAGTTTGACATCCCTAGTTTAAATTGATTACGGAGTGTCTGTGCAGCACAACATGGTTATCATCTAACAAGTTAACTTCAACAGGCTCGGTCAGCTTTCAGTGTGCTCATTTCAGAATTTGCATATTTCATTAGCCCGTGTTTGATGTTAAACAATGTGCATCTTGCAATAGCAAAGCTCAGTACACAGTTGTTGCAGCGTCTATGTGTTTGTATGAATGTCTGTTTATTTATTTATTTTACATAATAGATTTTTTTTGTGACTTGCTATTTTTCAAAAACCTTTTTGTGAGATTTGCCTTGACTAAGTACGAATTACAATTATTTTCACAGAACCATTATGTCCACAAGGAGGAGGAGGAAAAAGCCTATAGACGATGCAAAGACATACATTCTGTCTTGCACTGACAAGGATGGGTTTATGCCGAGATTCATTGACCGTTACAAAGGTAAGTTGCAGAAGATTCCTTGACACAACTTGTGCATTTCAAAAGCAAAAAAGTATTATTGTTGATGTTAGGGATGAGTCGCGATCTTCGAATAGTCGGAACTGCGTGCGAAATTCGATCATAAAAAAGCATTTTCGAATATCGTTATATTTTGGCGCAATTCCTATGTGTTCTAAATTGACACCGCGCCTACATTCACAGAACACGCAGCTGGGTATTTTCCTGTCGGGGACACAAGGTGTCGTCAGCTAACATGAATGAAACACCCTACTGCGCGATCTAGGCTACCTGTGTTTTGTGCATAGTGTAAACAAACAACAGAAGAAGAGTATTGTCGTGACCGTTTACTCTGCGACCAACCATTTTAAATTATGCCAAGCAAAGCTCGCTGGCATACCACCACTCGGGGGCTGTTTACACTTCACTTCATATGTTTTCTGTGATCGGACAAGTGTATGTGCATCTGGTTGTTGAAACCACATATGTAAATGTTACTCCTCCCAAAAATGCACAAAAATAAACGTGTGAGAACGTGTTATTATAGGCTATACGTCATGTTATAGCTAGATATGACGACGCTACTGCAACACGGCGCAGCTGAGCATCTATTCATCAAGCCAACTTGCAAACTATCGCAAATCAAAGTGAAAGTAAGTCGCAGATGCTTAACACACAATCATCTTCATTAAAAGTAAAGAAACGAGATGATCTTACCAGCGCTGTTGCCACTCTCTCTTTGATGTTGACATTTTAGCTGACGATCAATAAAATGCAGCACATATCTTAACTCCATTAAATCAGTATATAGTGCAGGAGTTGAAAATCGGATTTATATCCGACACATTTATGTGACCAAGTGTAAATGGAGCAATGTACAGCCCCGTACAACAACGATGCATATAGCCACCTGAGATTCAAAGCTCCCGGCAGCAGCTTCATCCTCCCCACCAGTCATGGCTAGTTCGTTGGGTAGACTTGGCTAAGTTGCATGCTAGGCATCTGGCAATATAATTTCCCCGCCTGACAAAGTTAGTAATCTTCTGCTTGAGTGTCCCAGCTGTGCTCATTAGCAATTAGCCTCTGCGTTGTGGGCGGAGCCAGCGCTGCGGTAAATTATGAAAGCTAATACCAATATCTCTCTTCTTTGCACTGCAACCCACTACAGCACACAGGTGTTGATCCGCCATTGTCTTCTCTACTCCTCAGAACCTGAGCGGAGTGGGGCAGGAGCTTGTGGCCCCCCCAGAGTTATTACATCACAACTCCAGTCTGTTTTAGGCTGCCTTTTAGTGACTGCCATTGGTTCACAGCCATTTGAATGCAGAAATACTCAAAAATGCAATTTTGAGCTTAATTTTCTAAAGATATGTCCTCTAGCTTTAGAAAAATGCCACAAGAACATGTTAACAACACGAAAAACATGATTATCATCGGAGTGGGTCTTTAAAGCTCATTTGCACAATACATTATTTAACTAGTCTCTCTATTTGTTGTATATACGTTTGTTATATTGCTTTTCTGTGTCCTATATTTATTTTGTAAATCAGGAATACTTTCCGTTTTTTATATTGCTATTTAATATTTAGTTTCATGCCTTGCTGCAGCTACAATGTATTTTTCCAGTTTTGGATCAGTATAGTACATCTGTCTGTCTATGTCAAAAGTCTGAGTTGCATGATGTTCTTACGCTTCACTGGTGTTACCTGCACTAAATGGTACACGGCACTCTCAGTTTAAAGGAGTCATAACTTAGTATTACCTTGGATACCCACGCTCTATTATAGCCTTTCAGGCCCTTCTAAAAAAGAAAAGTGGAGAGCTCCTCTGACCCTTATTTCTGAAGGCATTATTGTCTCGCGAGATCTGATGTGATATTTTGGCTGTCATGGATGGTCATTTTAATAATGCAAAGGGGCGCGTTGATTGGTGGCAGGAAGGAGGGGGGTTGACACCGCAGGTAACTTCAGCATATCATTCCAAAATGACATCATGGCGCAAGTTGTGAATGAAACCGACCTGGCCGCGACCTACGGAATTCAACCGTACATGCACGAGCCAGACTCTGAATCTGAGCTGGAAAGGGAAGATGTAGAGTCGATGGAAGGACGTCTACATCAAGATGTCTCTGAATGGTAAAAACAATCATTTTGACTGAGACATTCATTATACCTTTTATTTAATGTAGATTACATTAACGGAGATGTAGTCTACTTTTTTTTATCAGCTTACAGTTGTTATTGAGATCAACGTTTGCTATCATGTGGTGTTTTTGCCTTGTTTCACGTTGTGGTTTTTTGGACATTCAAATTTGTGAACGATTCCGGTGTAAAATGATTAGCACAGACACCTAACGTTAAGCCAGTGGGAAGGGTTGTAGGAACCGCGTCATTAAAAATGAATTTAATCCACTGGTCCCTGACAGCTTGGTCCGTTCTTGGGAGAGAAAACACATTTAAGTTACATGTTGATTCTGGCAGTCAACAACAGAGCAACTCACGTGTGCACTACGTTTCTGCATCTTTCGCGACTGAATATGAGGGGGAGAGGGGCAGGGCGGGCTTCCTGCAGCATAGGTCTGCGGTGTCCATATATGGTATTTCCTGCCCCGTCTTGACGTCAAGTCGGGGCAGAAATTAAAATCTCGTATTTGAGTGCGCGTGCACGTGGGCTGGTTGACGAACCCAGGGGTAAACAAACGCTTCACTTTTAAATATCGGCTTCCCGGCCAGTGTATAATCGTTAGGCAATCATAACATACAATAGCCGTGTTTCCACTGTCGGGCCAGAGCCGGGCTGTGCTAGTTCACCCCTAGCGTGTTTTAGTGAAGCGCTGTGGAGCTTCTGGCCAGACAGTGGAAACGCAACAGCTGGTTTTGAGCCCGGTGCTCCTGGCCCGAGGCCATTAGCCCGGCTCGGCCCAGTTTAAAGCCCTGGCTCGCACTGGCCCGACAGTGGAAACGCGGCTATTGATTCTCGTGGAAAAGTGAAAATTACAGGTCATGACTCCTTTAAGGGAACCAAACAGAGCATAGACAGGACCTCAATGATGCATTGATGTGGATGGGTCTGCATCAAAAACATTTTATGTCCACAAAGTCTGATCAAAAAAGCACTTTACCTGTAGAGTGTGTATCACAACTGGGAGAGTGCTGAGCATTGTCTGCAGGTAATACACTGACTAGACGCAAGAACATCAACCTCACTTTGAAAATACTGTAGTATCTGTTTTTGAGCCAGAATGAAATGTTTAATTATTATATTATTGTAGGAAGAGGAGTGTTTGCCACACAACCCATTGAACCCGGGGACTTCGTGTTGGAGTACAGGGGTAAACTCCTCACACAGGAGGAATGCAAGTCAAGAAAATACTCAGAGATTGAAAGCACATTTCTCTTTGACTTTCAGTGGCAGAATCATCACTTATGGTAAACATTGAAAGATGGATGTTTTGTATTGATTTAGAGAAATTACGAGTTAACCCTGAAACAAAGGTTTAATACTTGATGAATGAGTTAAGCAAAAATACTCTTAAATTCTTTTGAAAATAACTCTTTCAATAAAACTTTTAAAAAGATGTAAAACTATTACCATTTTTTTGATACTTTTCAGCCTGGATGCATCTGAAGAAGATTTATCTCTCGGAAGATTGGTCAATGACAACCACCAAAATCCAAATTGCGTTATGAAAAAAATCATAGTTGACAACAAACCACATTTGTGCCTTTTTTCTCTGAAGAAAATAGAAATAGGAGATGAAATTGATTACAACTATGGTGATTCAAAATGGCCTTGGCGCTGTAAGGTGAGTTGGTTAGATTAAGTATAGAGATTTCTTTTTTTAAATTTTTTTGTTGCAAAAGAAAATTTTGTATTTCTCCAAAATTAACCATGTTTCCAATATTACTCTTGACTGTCTATGGAAATGCATTTAATCTTTGATCTGTGATGTGTGTTAAAATGAGTTCTTCTTTATCTGCAATCCAGTTGAAAAAAACCCAAGCTCCAGCCGCAGCAGAAGAGAATGAGACTAGCCCTGTTCCTCAGATGCTGAATGATAGACCTAACCCAGATCAGACCTGCACACAGGTAAAAGTACATTCAAACACATTCATCTATGCTGACATGTATCCATGACCCTATCCTAACCCTATCATGTGGGGCCCTTCCGTCCAGTTCTTACGGTAATTGTTTTTAATGCACTGTGGCAACACCTGACATGACCTCAACTGTGATTTTAACATTCGTAATTGTATACTGTGTCTGAGCTGTTAGATGTTTTAAAGCAATATTTTGATTTGATCCACTGCAAACTCTTGGAATAGACGTGAGCTGCTTTTTAGTCCATGCTCTCAGTTAAAGTTCAGTGCTGTTTCACCATTAGATGACCTTATTAGCCTGTGAATGTCTCTTCATACAGTTCTGAGTCTCTTCTTGTCTGTCTATTTCAGGTGAAAGGCCTTCAGACTCCTGCTGCAGCAGAAGAGAATGAGACCAGCCCTGTTCCTCAGATGCTTAACGATAGACCTAACCCAGATCAGACCTGCACACAGGTAAAAGTACATTCAAACACATTCATCTATGCTGACATGTATGTGGTGGTGTTCTATTACTAAAGTGGACCAATGCTTATGTGGCTTTATATTGGCTGTTAAAGGCCAGGTAATGTCACACACACCGGCATGTTTCCAGTCATGTTCTTATGGGGTCCTTCCATCTTCCAAATACATTTGTTTCTCAAGTCGCTCCTTTACACACTCGTATGTCTGTAGTCTGACCCATGTGGGGCCCTTCCGTCCAGTTCTTACGGTAATTGTTTTTAATGCACTGTGGCAACACCTGACATGACCTCAACTGTGATTTTAACATTCGTAATTGTATACTGTGTCTGAGCTGTTAGATGTTTTAAAGCAATATTTTGATTTGATCCACTGCAAACTCTTGGAATAGACGTGAGCTGCTTTTTAGTCCATGCTCTCAGTTAAAGTTCAGTGCTGTTTCACCATTAGATGACCTTATTAGCCTGTGAATGTCTCTTCATACAGTTCTGAGTCTCTTCTTGTCTGTCTATTTCAGGTGAAAGGCCTTCAGACTCCTGCTGCAGCAGAAGAGAATGAGACCAGCCCTGTTCCTCAGATGCTTAACGATAGACCTAACCCAGATCAGACCTGCACACAGGTAAAAGTACATTCAAACACATTCATCTATGCTGACATGTATGTGGTGGTGTTCTATTACTAAAGTGGACCAATGCTTATGTGGCTTTATATTGGCTGTTAAAGGCCAGGTAATGTCACACACACCGGCATGTTTCCAGTCATGTTCTTATGGGGTCCTTCCATCTTCCAAATACATTTGTTTCTCAAGTCGCTCCTTTACACACTCGTATGTCTGTAGTCTGACCCATGTGGGGCCCTTCCGTCCAGTTCTTACGGTAATTGTTTTTAATGCACTGTGGCAACACCTGACATGACCTCAACTGTGATTTTAACATTCGTAATTGTATACTGTGTCTGAGCTGTTAGATGTTTTAAAGCATCTTTTTGATTTGAATTTTGATGTTAAATATTTTGATTTGATGCACTGAAAACCCCAGTAATGGTCAATTGGACCATGGACCAATGCTCACGGGGCTTTAAAGTAGTCAGGTGACCTTTATTGGGTTGTAATTTATTACAATTTTTTATTGGCCAACCTTTCTAATTCCATACTTAATGAATTTTTGTTTATTTTTAGGTATTTACTGTCCAAGGATTTTCACTGGTTGATTATCCAGATAGTGATGAAACTGATGAGGATGGTATGGAAAACGAACCTCCCACCCCACACCTGGATGTTATTATAGGGCAGAATGATATTGGCCCAGATGTTTCAGATCATTTGTACGATTCAGATGAAACTGTTGTGAAAGAAACTTGTGATGAGGCTTCTCCAAGCAACCATTCCAACAATCAATCGGATGATGAACTTGTTCCACCACTGAGACGCACAAAAAGCATTCTGGTAAGCCCCAAAACACATTTTAACAATATAATTAACTTGTTTATGTGATAAATTTTTTGCCACTAGTAAGCGAATTTGAATTTTATATTTGAATGGGAATCATTTACTTTGAACCTGAATCGATTGTTTTGAACAATTGCTTTTAAAATCTGAATTTAAATGGACTCATTTGAAATTGAATCTATTGGATTGGCATAAACACCTGCAGGTGTGTGCTTTAAAAAAAAAAAAAAAAAAAAGATACAACGTGCCCAGTGATGTAGGCTACTGGTCAGCCAGCATACCGGGACAAACCCCGGTAGGGCCGGTCTCTGTTGCCAAAATCCGGTCGAGTCCTCGTCCTCGCCTGGTGCATTAATTATCAATTAAATAGAGATCACCAACAATCAATCAGTAATCATTTATTAGAGAAGCTCAACTCTCTCTCTTTTCTGACTGATTAAATTATTGACTAATCTCTCCCTCTCTCTTGAGTAGTTCCATGTCTACAGGAATGACACTATATCATTATGATGAATCATTTGCTGTGAAGTCATTAAATTTAACAATCAAATGCATGAAAACTGAAACGTTACTCTTTTTTTAATAATTTTGTCAACGTTTACTCCACCTGGAAGGCAGTTTGGACATGGGCCTCAGCAGGTGGATGGAGGGGTAATATTGGTCAATAATTTTCATAGGTGTCTAGCTCACCTGACAACCTCTGAATGGTCTCCCTATCAATAAAAAAATACAGCAATCATACAGCAAAATATCTCCATGTCTCCCTTTTTGCAGATGGATAGAGTACAAGATTTTACCCACAGTCTCTATGATTCAAGTAGTGACAGCGCAGAGGAGACTCCTTTTAAGTCTGAAAGGGATTCACAGAAACTGAGAAGAAGGTCTTGCCGTCCCGTAAGTCTTTTTTTTTGGGGGGGGGGGGTTACGATTGTGAAAATGTCTGTTGCTCTTGCTAGTGAGTCTGATGGGGATTCTTCTAATTTGTAAATTTACTTGTACTGAAAATGGTCCATACAGATTTTTCTTCATTTAGTATCCTGAGCCTGTTCAATCAGTATCCTCAGGTTTTTTATATTTAATGTTGCAAAAATAGTTATTAACAGATGTGTGTTTGTTTTTAAAGATTCAGATAAATCTCATGGAATCGGATGACTCAATCTCAGGTAGCGAAGATGAGTATATTCCAAATCCCATGGATGAAAGCACAGAAAGTGATAGCAGTATGGAATTAACCCTGGAAAAGGAAAAAAAGAACAAAGGTGCATCATCCAGTCAGAGCAAGTTTAAGCCCAGAGAGAGTGGAAGTAGATCCTCCAGAGAGAGTGGAAGCGAGTCCTCCAGACAGAGCAAGTCTAAGCCCAGGGAGAGTGGAAGTGGAAGCAAGTCCTCCAGACAGAGCAAGTCTAAGCCCAGGGAGAGTGGAAGTGGAAGCAAGTCCTCCAGACAGAGCAAGTCTAAGCCCAGGGAGAGTGGAAGTGGAAGCGAGTCCTCCGGTCAGAGCAAGTCTAAGCCCAGGGAGAGTGGAAGTAGATCCTCCAGAGAGAGTGGAAGCGAGTCCTCCGGTCAGAGCAAGTCTAAGCCCAGGGAGAGTGGAAGTAGATCCTCCAGAGAGAGTGGAAGCGAGTCCTCCGGTCAGAGCAAGTCTAAGCCCAGGGAGAGTGGAAGTGGAAGCGAGTCCTCCAGACAGAGCAAGTCTAAGCCCAGGGAGAGTGGAAGTGGAAGCGAGTCCTCCAGACAGAGCAAGTCTAAGCCCAGGGAGAGTAGAAGTGAATCCTCTAGTCATAGCCAATTTGACTTTAGCCAGAGAAGACTTTTGGAAAGATGTCATGATCCCGCACGAAGATTTCCAAATAGCAGAGTTGATGGGAATGAAAAGGAAATCGCAACATATTCTGAAAACAATGTTTCAGTGCCCCTGGAAGAAGAGCAGTATATCATTGTCAGTCCAACTTTAAAGAAAGATGATGGATCCAGAAGCTATAACAAGAAACATTTCTGTTTTTATTGCAGGAAGTTTGTCCAGAAAATGTCAAGACACTTGTGGCGTAAACACCAAGATGAATCGGATGTTGCGAAAGCATTCAGTTTTCCAAAAAACTCAAAGGAAAGAAAACTACAATTGGACTACATACGAAATAAGGGAAACTTTGAGCACAACAGTCATGTTTTGGAAACACAAAAAGGAAAACTAATCCCATGTAAACAACCGGGAAAAAAATCAGAGGGACATAAATTTGCACATTGCATTCACTGCTATGGGTTGTTCTCAAGAAGAGCAATGTGGCGGCATTTCAAGGTCTGCAGCTTCAAACCCGAAAGTACTAAACCAGGTAAAAATAGAGTTCAGGCATTGTGTGCTTTCGCTGAACCTTCTCCATCGGAATATACAGACGCGTATTGGAAGTTCTTGAGTGTAATGAGTCAGGACAAGATTGCAGTTGCAATTAAAGGAGACAACTGCATCCTCAATTATGGGTTCAGGTTGTTCAAAAAGAATGAGAAGATAGTGAGTCAACACCAGTATATACGCCAAAAACTGAGAGAACTTGGCAGGCTTTTATTGGAAGCTAAAAAAATCACACATGTGAAGACCATTCAAGAACTCATCAAACCTGAACAGTACTCCCAGGTTGTCAGAGCTGCAAAGAACCTATCTGGATTCAGTGAGGAAAGTGGCATATACCAATGTCCCTCTCTTGCACGCAAGGTAGGACACAGCCTGCATTCGTTGGCTATGTTTATCAAGTCCGAAGGACTGAAAAAGAAAGATAAAGAAACCATAAAAGATGCTGAGGAGTTCGCACAGTTGTATTTAGAGAGTTGGAGGTTTGATATTGCAGGCCAGGCATTAACCCAGCTTAACCGGGCCAAATGGAATGCACCGCAACTTTTACCTCTTACACAAGATATCCAAAGGCTACATTGCTATCTAGAAGAAAAACAGCAGCAACATCTCAAAGATTTAAAAGAACATCATTCATCCACAAATTGGAAGGAACTTGCAAAAGTAACACTGACTCAAGTTATGCTTTTTAATCGGCGGAGAGCAGGTGAAGTGTCCCGAATGCGCCTGTCTGCATACTTATCGAAGGACACATCAGAGGAACAGGGAGATGTAAATTTGGCCCTCACAGCGCTTGAGCAGAAGCTCTGCAGGCATTTTGTGCGAATAGCAATTGTTGGAAAAAGAGGAAGGAAGGTTCCTGTTCTTCTAACCCCATTAATGAGAGAATCACTTGATGCTCTTACTGAGAGCAGAGAAGAATGTGGGGTGCTAAAGGACAATGAATATCTGTTTGCATTGCCACAATCTGCCCATTACCTCAGGGCTTGTGACTGCATTAGGCAATTTGTCAGTGAATGTGCTGACATAAAAAATCCTCAAGCGCTAACATCAATTCAACTGAGGAAACATATTGCTACCCTGTCTACTGTTCTGAACCTCAAAACCACTGAGCTCGACCAGTTGGCAGACTTCCTTGGTCATAATATCGCTGTTCACAGGAAACACTACAGGCTCCCAGAAAGCACCCTCCAATTAGCCAAAGTAAGTAAAGTCCTCCTGGCAATGGAACAAGGACGCCTAGGAGATTACAAAGGAAAGAGCCTCGATGAAATACAAGTCGATGTGAATGGTAATTAACTTTATATTCTTGAAGGCACAATATATGACATTTAGTCTTCCGCATTCCGAAAACAACTATTTACCATGTAAAACAGGGCAGTAATGGTGACGGGATGAGAGATAATGCTACTGTTGTATACTCTTGCAGATTGCCCATAGTTTCAGCTTTCCAAACTCAATTTTTTATCAATTACCATTTTAGAGACCATTGACATGGAGGGACCTTTAGCAGAGGACATTGAAGGTATGTGTATACGATGTTCCTAAATTGATTTTTAAATGATCCGTTTTAGATATTTTGTGTATTGTATTAAGTTATTTCCCTCTCCAGATGTCAGTATGCTAAGAGATGATGGGTCAGACGATGAGGTCAGCATGTCATCCACGCAAGAATGTACCTCCACATCACAAAGTCAAAACCGGGGAGTGTCTGCAACCGGTGAGCTTGAACGCAATTCTTACCTTTCGTGCATTTCACACAGCACGTGGCAAAAATTTCAACATCAACAACTCCACCTCCCTTCTTTGTCCCACCCACCTCTTTCTCCTGCAACTCTGTCAGGAGACCTGTATGATGCAGAGGCTGCACAATCAGTCAAACACAACCCCAGTTTTAAAACTTAACACTGCGTCAGTACTGCCTGAAATTACAAGTAGCATTAACTTTGAGGTTAGCGGGAACCCACCTATTGCTTATAGGTTGCTCTAATCTCTCGGCACAGACTTCATACAGGGATAGCACAGCTACTCCAACACGTCCCTGTCACTACAGAACATCTGGAATGTGCGCGATTAGGTGATGCAGGACAATTCCCTGAGCACATTATCCAAGTCTGCTTCATGGCAGCAAACAGACTCCACGGTTGATCGCAGTGACCGCACTTGCACTGCAAAGGGTTGCCGACCCTCTCCTCACTGTCATCTCCGTCCGGAGCCGCTGCAGCTCCCTCAACCAAAAACGGGTCTCTCAACCCTCCTCCTCATCACTGGCTCAAACGCATATGCCATCGGGTTAGATGACATCTAATAAACTCATACAGCCTTGTCGTTAATTCTACTTGTAATATAACAACAGTCGCTTTCTGTCTGATGAAATCAGTTCATCTTATATTGTCCGACATACAATCTTTTCGGCGCACAGCTACTTCAGCACTAGTGGACTGCGTGGGACGGTCTGTCGTCCATACACTATATGAGGAAATATACTGCTTGAGGGCCACTATCCTTTAGGTTTTAGATGTTTCCCTGCTGCAACACACCTGATTCATTGTGCAGAGCTTGGCAACAAGCTGTTTGATCTATTTAATTTGAATCAGGTGTGTTGAAGCAGGGAAACATTTCAGACCTGCAGAATAGTGGCCCTTGAGGACTGGAGTTGCCCATCCCTGGGCTAACATGACAACTAATATTTTCACGTCACTAGTCACTTGAAAAGAATTTAGGACTATAGGAGACGGGATGAAATAAACTGTCTCTCTTTAAGAGACACAAATCCCATATACTGACTTCTTATTAAGTGCCTTGAGACGACATCTGTTGTGAATCAGCGCTATATAAATAAACTGAATAGAAAATTGAATTGAATATACTAAATTATTTTATAAAATAACACAACCACTGCACTGACGGCTATTACATATTTCATGTAGTGTATACTACAATAAAGTTATTTCTTTGTCCAGATGTCAGTATGCCAAGAGAAGAGGGGTCAGAAGATGAGGTCAGCATGTCATCCCTGCAAGAATGTCCCTCCACATCACAAGTCCAAAACCGGAGTGTGTCTGCAAAAAAGAGAGGTAAGCTTTGGGGCTTGCACTCTCTTTTGGGCCAGAGCTGCTCATTTATTTTTTAGGGCTTTTACTTTGCTTCCTTGACTCAACACTTGAAATATGTCTGTCCCTCCTTACTGTCCGGTGCCACAAGCCTGACAGTGACTTGAAAGAAGCTGTTGCAGGAACAGACCTTGTGAGCCTGCATTGTCGCAGGTTGTAGGGTTGGGGAAAGACTGGCATTATCACCTTTATATCAATAAGAAGTCTGTTGTATTTAAAAAAAAAAAAAAAATCTTTACACTTTATGGACTTACTCAGGAAAAATGCTTGCATTTCCTCCAACAACGGAGGTGTACAGTGACCAGTTGAAAAACTCGAACAACCTATAATCACCTTAAATACCTCCTAACTGTTAGTGTTCCTTCATCCAAGTCTCATTAAGCCTCCACATGCAGCTGACTTTATTAAATGACCTTTTAAAAGTGCCTTATAAATAGAAAATATTATCATTATTGTTTTTAGTATTATTATTATTATTTTGTGAAATGCAAAAAAGAATAAAATTGCTTTAAGTGAGAGAGTGTGTGTTTATACTCGAGTGTAGGGTAAAAGCATCCTGTTGCAGTTTCTTTTCCAGAATTATAATGTAATGCCGTCAGCAACACACAAAGAAAAAAGAATGCAATCAAAACCGTTAACTATAAATAAAGTTAAAAAGCAATACTAAACGGAATGCATCTGAGCAGGCACTCCTCCGTTGCTTTCTGCCTTTCGTTCACCCGTTGCAGCTCTTCCTTCAGCCAGTTGTCGGTCGTTCTCATGGTGGTTTTGGCAAAAGAGGGAGCACGGGGCTTGGAGAAGCTGGCAGCACAGGGGTTTTTCCACCGCTTCATGCACTCTTTCAGCAACGAGACCAAAACATCCGGAGACTTGTGATCACTCTGGCCAATTACAAGAGAGTACATCCACGTAGCTGCGTTTGCGTAGCTGGGCAGCACGTCAGGTCCGAAGAGGTGCCCATCAAGCTGCATAATTAAGGATTAATTTGCAGTGTTTTTGTTTTTACCAAACCAGTGTATAAAATGAATAATAATCTCAGTCATGTTATTATGAAGAGTTGTTTATTCCAACAAATAAGATCTTTATTTATTTACATTGTTAACAGTGCAATGTCTGCAGTGTTCTTTCGCTCTCCACTGAAATCTATGTGCTCAGTGTGAAGTCCACCTTTACTTATAGTGGTAATCCCAGAAACAGTTCCTGTCCTCTGAAAAACAGAGGCGGACATCACACTTACTGCATTGGGTATTGGTGTACCCTTTACTGCAATGTCTGCAGTGTCCTCTCTTTGTCTTCAGGGGGAAACGTCCAGTTTGGTCCATGCGCGCATCCATGGGCGGTGGTTTGCGTGACTTTTTAGAAGAGGGAGCCTTTGGACTTCCATCATCCATGTGTGGTCTCTTTCCACTATTCAGAGGGCTCCTGTCTCTGGGCTCTTGTTGATTGAAGATGGCCGTCCTCTCTTTGGCGTTTTCAGTGTTGTGTCCGCCAGATTAGAATATAAATGTATCAATTTATGTACATCTCAAATTCCAGTCTGATTTATCACAAACAAGGTAAATAGCACAAATAGATCATTACCGTAATGAGAGAGGAAGCCAGCTGTGCTTGGAACTTTCTCATATTCAGTATCTCCTTTGGCATCCTGAGAGCATAGGCTGTGCTGCTTGTAGAGGAGCCAGGCGTTGACCACAGCAAGGGTGATTGTGTGCCAGAAGATGTACATGTACCACCACCAGGATTTCAGTGCATACTTGTGTTTTGCTGTAAATGAGTCCAACAAATCCACACCTCCCATGTATTTATTGTAGATGCCCACAATGGAAGCCTTTCTAACGTCAATGTAGGTTTTGGCGGCTTTGTCCCAGTGTTGAATCTCCTGAACAGGTTCTGGTCCAGCGAAGTGTCACCGCCCTGTTGTCGTACCATTTGACAGCACAGATGTTGTTTCCCCTCCACTCTGTGGTCAAAGCTTCCTCTGCCCTTCTTCTTCAAGCTCTTCACATGTAAAGATTACAGTTGGGGAGATGCACTTGCCTGGCTGTTCCCACATAATGGATTCCTTGCTCAAGGAGCTTCACTACCAGTGGAACGGAGGTGAAGTAGTTGTCTGCCTAGATCTTCTTGTGTTGACCCTTTGGAAATGTGGAGGCAAGCTTCATTACAACATCACTGACAATCCAAGTTTAGATTTGACTCGTACATCATTGTTGCTCCCTTGGTAAACATCAAAGTCAAGCATCATGCTAGAGATTCCAGCTTTCACCCATACTTTAAAGCCCCATGAGCATAGATTACCTTGCATATACTTCTTGATGCTGCTGAACTTCCCGTTGAAGGGTATCATCATCTTGTCCATGGAATGTGCTCTTCTGGTACCACCTGCAGGCAGTTTTCTCTGAGTGAATCAAGCTGTGGTCTGAGTTTCCAGAGTTTGTCCCTCTTTTCAGTCTCTGGCACGGTTAAATTGTTTACAAAATGTAATGTTCCATCCTCAGGTACATGCCCAATGCTGCCTGTATTTCTTTTGTATTAGTGTTGACTGATCTTTCATCATTTTGAATGCTATACTCATTCGTATTTGTTGCCAGAGCTTGAACCAAATCTTCTGACAAAAACTTTTGGAAGTATTGCAGTGGTGTGTGGAGGGAGGTGACATCAACTGTGAGAGCTTGACCAGAAAAATCAGTGATGTCTGTCATGTGGCATGATGTATTTCTTTGATTGCCCGGGTTCAATATTCACATTAGCTGGACAATTGGTAGGTTCTTGGTTTTCTTTGTCCACAGAGACATCATTATCTGATTCTTCATCACTCGCATCAGTGTCGTCAAAATCTATGTCCACATCACTTTCTCCGTTTTGGATGATGGCAATTACATTGTGCACATTGTACCGAGGATTTCTCCTTGCTGGTGGCATTCTGAAATGGAAAAGATAAAATTGAAACAAATTTCCATTGTATATACAAATAGCACACATGCCTCATTATGACATGTTCACACTTTGGACTGAAGCAGCCTATTCACACATCTCACCGGTCACGCTATACCCTAATGGCTCACCTATAGTAGACTGTGATTGTAATCCTTACTGGAATGCATTCAGCGTCCAGTTTACAACAAAAACTAACAGTGATGAACATTTACACCTGTGTCAGAACAAAGCACCAGGAGCATCCCGCACAACTTGGAGGAGTGGCCAGGTGTCTCTTGCAAAAGAGATCTTGGATCTCAATGGGACAGACCTGGTTAAATAAAGGTTATAGGCCTAATGATAATAAGCTCTTTGACTATAAATTGATAAGAACATTTTGTTTATCAGTAGACTAAGAAAAGGCAGATTTGCACAAACAGAATTTCTTTGTTAGAAAGTCCTGCAGAATGTGATAGCAAATTATAATGTTTAGATATGGCAATATATCTTTCAACTTTAGTCTCTAATACAGTATAGAATATGTAATCCGATATAAAGCTAAAGGGTATAATGTTTAAATCCTGTATAATTTGTTGTTTACATTTTCATTTAAGTTCCCCTCAAGATGTTCCTTAGCCTGGGAAAACCCAGACAACTTCTGGCAAATTTAGATTTGCTCTGAAAGTTAGTCTGGCAAAGAGCGCATTCAAGTCCATTTCCAATCCACCGAAATCGCGGCACCAATCAGAAACGTTGGGGCGGGCTTTACACGATGACGACAGCGCTGGGATTTTGAAGCAGATTTTGTAGCCTACATTACAAAGATGGATGCCGCCGTCGAACATAACTCGTTCGGATCAGCTATCCCGTCTGTTTTAAGCGGTTTGAACGTTTCCTTTTTGTTAAAAACCGAGCAAAGAACAACACTCGGAGATGTTTCTCTGCCGGCCGCCGCTCTGCATACGTCATCTCCTTCATCGCTCTGATTGGTTTTAGGCCTACCCGCGACGTCCGTTGGAGACGCCCCTCTGGAAATGATTTGTCTATGACGCTTTGCCAGACCATAACTCAGTTACAACTGAGAATGGTCTGGTTTTAACCAGGCTAGATGTTCCTCTTAAATACAGGGCAATTATGACTGCCACTCTCATCCAACATTGTAATATCGCAACATTTATAAAACAAGCTCTAAACAAAATGTAGGGCATATTTTCAACATTTACTGTACATGTCCTTGTTCTAGACACTGTAATAAACACAGAAAAACATATTCCAAGCATTTTACTTACTTCAAGATGAATCCAGTCCAGTAAATCAAAGGGATGTTGCTTGATCAGAAAGTTGTAGGATGTGTCACTTCTTGACTTAAGGGGGGTGGGCTTTGTATACAAATCCTGGATCCAATTACATGGTGGGAATAAAATGTAGGACCCACAGATCATATTGATGTAGTTGTATAAACAAAAAAGACAAAAGGGGTTTTGGGAAATAACCACAATTGTTGTAATTCTGAAACAGTGGGTCTTACAGGGTTAAGTAAGATTAAAATTTCTTTATAAAAGAAAACCTACAATGTTTTGTGTTTTTGCCTACATAGGAAAACAAACAGCCATCAAAAGAAGCTGGACCCCAGACGAGTGTGCTGCAGTGGACACACATTTGAGGAGATTTATTGTAAGGAATCAAGTTCCTGGTAAAGAAGAGTGTCAGCGCTGTATTACTGCAGAACCTCAAGCTCTCAGAAACAGAGACTGGAAAGCAGTTAAATATTATGTTAAAAATCGCATTACAGCCCTGAGAAGAAAAGTCTAGTGTGAAAGCACCTAATGGAACTGAGGTAAAACCAAAACATTAGAGGTAGGATCTTAAAATGTTTTGTCTTTGGTTGTGTTCTGTTGTAACCTTGTTGTTGTTGTTGTTGTTGTTGTTGTTGTAGGGGTTTGCTCAGGTTTTATGGCTGTCCAGTGGCCAACAAATATACACATTTCACAGATCTTATTTAATTTTATTTTTTATTTGATGGATGTAGGATGGATGTTCGAGAGATGAATGGATGTAGGATAGATGATTGATGTTTGATGGATGTAGGGTAGATGATGGATGGATGGATGTTGACCGGATGGATGGATGGATCTTGAATAGATGTTGGATGGATGTTGACCAGATGATGGATGGATGGATGGATGGATGTTGACCAGATGATGGATGGATGGATGGATGTTGACCAGATGATGGATGGATGGATGGATGGATGTTGACCAGATGGTGGGTGGATGGATGGATGGATGTTGACCAGAGGATGGATGGATGGATGGATGATGACCAGATGGATGGATGGATGGATGGATGGATGTTGACCAGAGGATGGATGGATGGATGGATGGATGTTGACCAGAGGATGGATGGATGGATGGATGGATGTTGACCAGAGGATGGATGGATGGATGGATGGATGTTGACCAGAGGATGGATGGATGGATGGATGGATGGATGTTGATGGATGGATGGATGGATGGATGGATGGATGTTGACCAGAGGATGGATGGATGTTGACCAGAGGATGGATGGATGTTGACCAGAGGATGGATGGATATTGAGGTTTTCTTATTTATTTTAATACATTTTTTTATTTATTTTAGGGCCTGAACACTGAAAGTGTGTGGGCATATGTTAAATATTTCAAAGGATTTTTCATTTCTTTAAATATCTCTGTATCATGATTTCAAAATTTGAGGCTTCATTGGAAAGAGAACCTAGTGTTAACATGATATTATGGATGCAGTCCAATGAAACATATAAACTGTTGGGTTTACATAAAAGTTCAGGCTGATGTTGTTCAAACATTGAGTGCAGATTGTACAGACCTCTAGACATTAAATTAATAATTTGTTTTAATCATTTCATAAAAAGTTTATTGACTGACAACTGTGTGGCATAAACTGTCATTACAATAAAATTGGTCATTTCAGTTTTGTCATAAAACTGTCTTTGAAGCCGTATGTCTTGTAATCTGTAAAGGCAGATGGAAAGTTTCACATGTATACATAATTACTCATTACAAAAATAACTATTTTAGTCCAAAATAAGGAAACTGGGAGTAATAATAAAGGCTGGTGTCAGCAGCTGCAGATAGTGACCTTGGGCCCCATTAACATATAAAAACTTGGTATGTATGTGTGTATGTGGGCGGACCCCACAAGTCAGCAATCCTAGAAACGGCCCCCACAAAGGGCCAAATACCTTTTTTGACAAAACTTTTGAAATTTGTCAAATTGAAGTGATATTAATGATTGAGATTTTTTTTTAGATCTAATGTTGTTTTTTACAGCAGTGTAGGACCACTGGAAAGGGTGGATCCCACAACGCATAAAAAAACTGGTGGGCCCCATCAGGGAGCCTGCGTCAGAATGTGTGTGTGTGTGTGT